TGGTTGCCTTTCTTTGTCGCATCTTAACTGATGAGATGCCAAGTTTATTCCTCAGGGTTTACAGTGAGCTTTGTTTATTTTGAGACCCTTTCTGTGTTGTAGAAAAGAGCAGAAAGTACAGAAAAGAGCCTATAAAATTATATTTCTGTGATTAAGACTGCAGAACGTGTACATTGGTGTTGGTGTTGGTGTTGTTTAGGCCCTTGTTCGCACAAAGAAGTGTTTGGTTACACATACCCCAGGAATCTCCAGAGGTGGTTGGTTTTAGTCTTCAGGTCACAAGAGGGAAAACCTTTATGGTTATGGATGTCATTTTGAAAAATGATGTGTGAGGAAACAGTCTCACGGTCCATATTTTTTTCTGCTCTAGTTTAAGGTTAATAGATATGTTTGTGAACCAGCTTAGAGGGTCAGAGATCATGTCCAGTGCTGGCCTTGCACAGAACTTGAGTTCTTAGTATTGTTTTAATAGTTCACACCATCTTTATCTTTTATAGTGAAGTCTGATCTGTGACAGTTCCATCTGCCTTCCTTGGGAACAATTTTATTCCACTAGGAGTTTTCCTGGCAAAATTACTTTCAGAACACCATGAAGCCAAGGAAAAACATATAACTCTTTATTAAGAACTGTCTTGGAAGGACATTCCTGCATAAAGAAAACAGGAAACATCCTATCCCTCAAAGTAAAAATATCCTGACAACCAAAATGCCCACATGAGTAATACTTTACTTAGCAGATGTTTACTGAGGAAACCATCATGTTTGCTTTATAACAAGAAATACTCTTGTTTTATTTTTAAACTTATCATCAGTAGAATATTTTTGCACTGTTGTACAGTTCTGTGAATTTCAACACAATTGTAGATTTGTGTAGCCATTGCTATAATCTGGATATAGAATAATTCTATCACTCCAATAGCTCCTCCCTCCTCCCCAGCTCTTGGCAGCACTTATCTGTTCACCATAAGTGAACAGTTTAGTCTTTTAAAGAATGTCATGAAAAACTACATTAGTATGTCTTTTGGTAGGTAACCTTTTGAAACAAACTTTTGACTTAAAACCTCTGAGATTCATCCAGTGTCTTATAAATATCAGAAGTTTGTCTCTATTTATGGATGTACAACTGCTTACTAACTTACTTGTTGAAGAACATTTGGATTGCTTTCAATTTTTGGCAATTATGAATAGAGTTTTCGTAAACATTTGCTTTTGTGTAAACATTAATATTGTATCTGTCTCTAGGATAGATACTCGGGTAGGAATGCTGAGACAAAATGTCTATGCCATTTTGCATTTCCATCAGCAATGTATAAGAGTTCCTTCCAGTCACTCTGCATCCTTGTCAGCACTTGGTATTCTCAGAATTTTTAATTTTAATTCTAATTTTAGAATAAAATTCTAATGTAAATTTTAATTTAAATTAAATTTTTAATTTAAATTAAATTTTTAATTTAATCATGGTTTTAATTTGCATTTTCCTAATTGCTCATGACGTTGAACATTTTTTCATGTGGACAGCCTGTATCATCACAGAAGTGTCTATTTTTATATATTTTCCCATTTAAAAAATTTTTTTCATATTGTTATGAGGATTTTTTATTATCCTACAAGTTGAATAGGGGATTTGCAAATAATATTTCCCAGTTTGCAACTTGTATTTTTATTCTCTAAATTCTTTTACAAAGCAAAAGTTTTTAATTTTGATGTAGTACAGTTTATCATTTTTTTAATGGAATATGCTTTTTGTATCATGTCGAAGAACTCATTACTCAACCCTAGGTTGTACGTTTTCTTCTGAAAGTTTTGTAGTTTTATATTTTACATTTAAAGCTATGATTCATTTTATGTTAACATTTGTGTAAGGTTAAAATTTACTTTCTGCCTATGGATTTCTAATTGCTTCAGCATCATTTGTTGAAAAGACTACCCTTTCTCCATTAAATTGCTTTTGTACCTTTGTCAAAACTCAATTGGCCATATTTGTGTGAGTCTATTTCTAGATTCTCTTTTCTGTTTCATCGATCTATGTGTTTACCCCTTTGCTAATACCGTCCAGTCTTTATTACTGTAACTTTATAGTCAAGTCTTAAAATTGGGTAATTCAAGTTTTCCAATTTTGTTCTTCTTTTTCATTGTTGCCTTCTCTATTCTAGTTTCTTTGCATCTCCATATAAATTTTAGAATCAGCTTATCTATAAGAAATCTTGCTAAGATTTTAACTGGTATTATGTGGAATCTATACATAAATTTGAGGATAATTAACACTTTTACTGTATTAAAACTTCCAAGTCATGAACATAGTATGTCTCTTTAGTTATTTAGATCTTTGATTTCTTTTATCAGAGTTTTGCAGGTTTTACCTGAAGATCCTATACATGCTTTGTTATACTTGTACCTAAGTGTTTTGTTTTGCAAAACTATTTTAATTTTCAATTTTAATTGTTAATTAAAAATTTTTAATTTTCTGTTTTAGTTGGAAATTTCTAGTCATGTTGGTTTACTGTGGCTGCCGTAACAAACTGCCACAAACTTGGTGGCTTAAAACAACAGAACTTTACTTTCTGAAGTTCTGGAGGTCAGAAATCTATGATCAGTTCCGAGTAGAAATCAAAACTGTGTGGCAGGTCTGTGTTCACACACAAAAGGAAATCAGCTCTTGGCTCTTCTAACTACTGGTAGCTGCCAGCATTCCTTGGCTTATGGCTATATCACTGCAGTCTCTACTTTGGTCTTCATAATCCTTTCTTCTGTGTCAGATCCCCTCTGCCCCTCTTGTGAAGCCATGATCATGTCTTATGTCAAAATCCTTAATTTAATCACATTTGCAAAAAACTTCACCATGTAAGGTAACCGTCACAGATCACAGGAATTAGGACATAATATTTTTGAGGACATTTTCAGCTTACTACATGAGAAGGAAATGGCAGCCCACTCCAGTATTCCTGCGTGGAAAATCCCATGATTGGAGGAGCCTGGCAGGCTACAGTCCATGGGGGTCGCAGAGTCGGACATGACTGAGTGACTTAACTTATTAACTTACATTTACATTAGCGTTTAGAAATCAAGATTGTGTGTGTGAGAGAGAGAGAACACAGAGACATAAAGAAACAGAAACAGAGAGAGAGACAGAGATTGTGTATGTTGACCTTTTATGCTGTAGCCTTAGTGCTAAACTCACATATTAATTCTAGGAGTTTTTGGGTTGATTCTTTATATTTTCTATATAAATAATTATGTCATCTGGGGATTTTCTTGGCAGTCTAGCAGTTAAGACTCCACACTTTCAATGTGGGGGGTCCAAGTTCGATCCCTGGTTGGGGAACTAAGATCCCACATGCCACGTGGCATGAGCAAAAAAAGTAAAAAGTTAAAAAAAAAACTATGTCATCTGCAGATAAAGATATTTTTATTTCTTTCTTCCCAATTTGTATGACTTTTGTTTCTTTCTCTTGCCTTATTTCATTGACTAGAATTTCCAATGCAGTGTGAATAGGAATGGTGAAAGTGGACATCCAGACTTGTTCCTAGTCTTAGAGGGAAAGCATTCAGTCATTCGCCATCAAGTAGTCCTTCTTTGCAGAGAAGTTTTCAAAGTTGTTTTTTTTTTAATCATGAATGGATGTTGAATTTTTTCATATGATTTTTGTCCGTCAATTAATGTAATCATTTTCCCTTCTTTATATTATTAATATGATGGGTTCATTCAGTTCAGTTCAGTCGCTCAGTCGTGTCCGACTCTTTGCGACCCCATGAATCGCAGCATGCCAGGCCTCCCTGTCCATCACCAACTCCCGAAGTCTACTCAAACTCACGCCCATCGAGTCAGTGATGCCATCCAGCCATCTCATCCTCTGTCGTCCCCTTCTCCTCCTGCCCCCAATCCCTCCCAGCATCAGGGTTTTTTTTCAATGAGTCAACTCTTCACATGAGGTGGCCAAAGTATTGGAGTTTCAGCTTCAGCATCAGTCCTTCCAGTGAACACCCAGGACTTATCTCCTTCAGGATGGACTGGTTGGATCTCCTTGCAGTCCAAGGGGTTACATTCACTGATTTCCAAATATTGAACCAGCTTTACATTACTGGGACAAACCTCATGGTGTACTATTTTTTATACATCACTAGTTTTGATTTGGAACATTTTGTTGAGGATTTTAAAGTCTATGTTCATTAAAGATATTGGTCTGTAGTTGTATTTTCTTACACTGTCTTTGTCTGGTTTTGGTATCAGGGTAATCTGGCCTCATAAGGTAAATTGGGATGTGTTCCCTCTTCTTTTTTTCTGGAAGAGATTTGGTGTTTTTTCTCCTTTATATGTTTCATGAAATTTGCCAGTGAAGCCATCTCTTCTGATGATATTCTTTTTCAGAAGATTTTAAAATACATACTTAATTTTTTTCATAGTTTTAAGACTACTCAGGTAACCTCTGTTTTCAACTTCATTGATTTCTCATCTCTGTTATTTCCTCCCTTTTGCTCACTTTGAGCTTATTTTTCATTTCTTTTTTCCCCTAGTTTCTTAAGTTAAAAGCTTATATCAATAGAGCCTTTTCTTCTTTTCTAATATAAGCATTTATAAGGTATACATTTCCTTTTGAGCACTATTTTAACTACATGAACAAGTTTAATGTGTTGTATTTTTATTTTAATTAAAAGTATTTTCTAGTATTTCTTGAGACTTACTCTTTTGATTCCTTGATTTATTTATAAGGTGTTGTTTAATTTCCAAATGGTTTTGAAATTTCCCTACTATTTTTTGATATCGATTTCTAGCTTAATTCCATTAGGACATGAAGATACTTTTCATAATTTCGATTAAGTTTGTTAAGGTTTGTTTTATGATTCCTGATATGTTCTGTCTTGGTGAATGTTTGATTGTGTGACTGAATATGTGTTTTCTCTGAAGGGAGTCATACCTCTTAACTGGGCCCATTTGTTTGCTTATTCACTGAAGAGTCTTTCTGGAAAGTTGTCACTCACAGCCCATTGTTTTCTTTGTCCAGAGCATCCGGGATGTGAGGAGTGATAGTGAGGGCGAGTATGAAGAGGAAGAAGATGAGGAAGAGGAGGAAGAGAAGGAAGAAGCCACAGGAGGCAAAGAGACAGACCGTTTGAAGAACAGCCTTGGGGCCGACAGGCACCTCATCCCCAATGGTCAGCATGGCTGTTAGCTTGAGGCCCACGTAGCTCCCAGTGCCCAGCGCCCCGCAAGGGCTGCCAGGAGCGGGACTTGTGCCCTCCTCCACTGCTGTGGCCTTGACCCAGAGGGACCGCAGATTTTGCCTTTCCTTCCTTCTTATCACCACCTTCCCCCTCCTAAGATGTATTTAACAAAATGTTGTTTTTGTGTTAAAATGTTGAATATAAGCATCCCAGTGGACTTTACCGTAGTTAGGACTCAGGCTTCAAAGATTTCTCAAGAGAACCCTTCTAGTTCTAATTGTGCCCATTCATGCATTTGAGACACCTGGAGCCAACTTGGTTGTGGGCCTTCCCCTTCCCACCTTGCCTGTGTTCATGATGATTTGAGAAGTGCTAAGGCAACCCACCTTTTCCAGGTGTGTTTGGCTACAGAGATAACTCACTTCCCAAAAGTGAGATAGAGATAGCAAAGGAACAATGATGGCAGGACCAAACTAAGGGACCAGGCTCCAGGGCTCACAGGCCCCCTTCTGCTGTGGACATTATTTAAGCCTTCCATGCTGTGTGCTGCGTCTCTCCAATAGGAAGAACCAGGCGTGCCCTGTCCCCTCACAGGGATGGAGTAAGGATCAAATGAGATAATAACGGGCATGAGAGCGCGTACTGTAGGCTGTGGTGTTTCTATTACCAGACCCTCTCTCCCCTCTGACCCCAGCCCTGATGCTCTCTCCACTCTGACCCCAGCCCTGACCCTCCTTTCACTGTGACCCCAGCCCTGACCTCTCTCCACTCTGACCCCAGCCCTGATCCTCTCTCCACTCTGACCCCAGCCCTGACCCTCTCTCCTCTGTGACCCAGCCCTGACCCTCTCTCCACTCTGACCCCAGCCCTGACCCTCTCTCCACTCTGACCCCAGCCCTGGCCCTCCTTTCACTGTGATCCCAGCGCTGTTTGGGAGAGCAGCCTGGTGAAACTTGACACTGAATGGGCCTAAACAAAAGGCATAGTCTTGAAGAATTCCTCTTAAATGTGTCTGGAGACACCTAGAAATGCAAGTACCCAGAAAGCTGTTTCCACTTTATTTGGTGACTGTTTGTTAGCTCTCCAAAGGTAATTCTCATGTCCCCCATGTTCTCGTCCCTCAGGCTCCATGGCCAAGAGAAGGGAGTTTGGGCCCCACTCCTTGTATGTTGCTGGTTTCTCCTTGTTTCCTCTCCTAGAGGGATGCATTCCTACTGTATTCTGAGCCACCCCCTCAGCCAGCAGAGCTACCCATCAGGCCATGGGGTCCACAAGGGCACTGGACCCAGGTCAGGCTGCTCCCCGAGTCACCATCACTCAAGAAGCCCAGCATCTGGGGTGCAGCTTGCACCTGAGCTCCTGAGCAAAGGAGGTCTTGGAAACAGAAGGAGATGCTGCACTATAAATCTCTGCAGTCCAAGCCAACCAGTGCAAAGCAGTAATGCAGAACAAGAGAAAGTCTGGAGAACGTCCCCAAGAAGGTCCGAGTCAGCGTCAGCTCCTGGGCTGCCTCCCTCTTTGAAAGGACAGGTAGGGGCTGGTAGGTCAGTAGCCACCTCTCAGCCCCCACAGGGGTGCTTCTCCTGAGGCTCGCGTGCAGGCCCCCCAGGCTTTCTCAGGTGGCTGACTGAGGAGAGGCAGAACCTTGCAGGGGAGGAGCTGAGCAGAATATGCAGCTTTTCCCCACCCAGTCTCTCATATTTTTTGGTCACATTTGCATCTTCATCCTGTTTTGCTGAGGGTCCATATTACAAAGCCAAGTAAGCGGAAGCTGAGACCACAGGGACTAGTGAAACCCACACAGGCTCCACCAATGGGAGCCGCAGCCCCTGCAGCACAAAAGACACTATATATGGTAAAGGTGTTGGCAGTTTTGTTTTTTTTTTCAGTACAAATATATTTTTTTAAACCTTCGGAATTCTTTCCCAACAAAATTTCTTTTTGAGGAATTGTTAGAACAACAGAAAAAATGTGTCGGGTTTCTCTGTATAATATCTGCTTTTATGAGTACAATAACATTATATGTATAATGTATATTATAAATCTCAAATGCCTCCAGTTACAGCTGTTCAAGCATAGCTATTGAATTATTATTATTTTTTTCTAATTTTGGTGAAAGGTCACACTAAGATATTATTTTTATTTTCCAGTTAACAGAAACATTTTCCTTGATTTAGTTTGGCCTCTGTACCAAATATCTTCTTGCTTGAAGTAAAAAAGTTTTTAGTTGTTGCATTATCCTCCAGTTTTTTTCTCATTTGAACATCGAAAGTAAAATTGGTAAGCAAATTCCAACTGCCTATGGTAAGCTGGAAGCACCAAACTACCTCCAAAGAGGTAGAGATTCATGTTCTGTAATATCTTTTAGGGCTTTTGTGGTTAATTTTAAGGCTGACCTCTCTTTTTACAGAAAACAAAAGCTCATACTATACACCAAATAGCTTTATAAAAATGTAGTCCACTATGCCACCAGTATTATTGTAATGGTAATGATTTACAATAAAACAAAGACAGAACCCTGCGTGTGTGGTGATTGAGTAGATTCAGTTTGACTTCCTAGAGATTATTTCTGGTCTTATTGAGTGGTGGAAACAAAGACTTGCCAGTCTTCTGGAAACACCCTGCAGGGAATCAGGAGGAACAGTGAGGAGACCAGAGCTGAGTTAAGACCTGAGGGCCACTGGCCTTGGGATACAGACACCAGACAAGTAGACATGCAGGCCAGGCCTGACGAGGGCGAGCCTCTCAGCTGTGCACAGTGTAGACAGACAGCAACTTGTGGACTGGAGACTAGCCTAGCCCTCTGACGTGCAGCCCTGAGGAAATGCTGAAGAGCATGGCCCTAAAAGTGTTTTCTCAGCCCCCTTTTCTGCACCTGCCCTTCAAGGGAAGAGGAAATAGGATCTGTTGATGGTTCAACTGGCTGTCCTTCAGAATTACCTGTTAAGCTTAAAAACACACCTTGCCTGCTCCACATTTTATTTCATACTTCTGGGATGAGAATAAAACTGCATTTGAACCAAGCCCAGGTACTTCTGAAGAGCAATCAGGATTCTGTGTGACCCCACCTAGTTTTAGTCCTATGTAGACTTCGCATGCATGCTGTCATGTCTTACTAGCAGTTTCATACGCTAATAAATGAGAATGGGCAATGATATAGAATATTTACTCCAAAATAAATCCAACTAAAATATTGAAGAAAAAAAGGAAACCTGAGAATAGTCAAGACAAATAGAAAACACTGTAAGAGTGATACACTGGTTAGTACAATGGCAGTGTTGTTGTTTGTTTAGTCACTAAATTGTATCCAACTCTTTTGCAACTCCATGGACTTCCACACTCCACTGTCCATGGGATTTTCCAGGCAAGAACACTGTAGTGGGTTGCCATTTCCTACTCCAGGGGATCTTTCTGACCCAGGGATCAAACCCACATCTCCTGCATTGGCAAGCAGATTCTTTACCACAGAGTGACCAGGGAAGCCCAAATCACCAAATCCAAATTTATGAGTAATTACATCCATATGATTATCTCAATAGATGCAGAGAAAGCCTTTGACAAAATTCAACACCCATTTATGACAAAAACCCTCCAGAAAGCAGGCATAGAAGGAATGTACCTCAACATAATAAAAGCCATATATGATAAACCCACAGCAAACATTATCCTCAATGGAGAAAAATTGAAAGCATTTCCCCTAAAGTCGGGAACAAGAAAGGGTGCCCACTCACCCCTACTATTCAACATAGTTTTGGAAGTTTTAGCCTCAGCAATCAGAGAAGAAAAAGAAATAAAAGGGATCCAGATTGGAAAAGAAGAAGTAAAACTCTCAGTGTTTGCAGATGAAATGATCCTCTACATAGAAAACCCTAAAGACACCACCAGAAAATTACTAGAGCTAATCAATGAATATAGTAAAGTTGCAGGATATAAAATTAACACAGAGAAATCCCTTGCATTCCTATACACTAACAATGAGAAAACAGAGAAATTAAGGAAACAATTCCACTCACCATTGCAATGAAAAGAATAAAGTACTTAGGAATAAATCTACCTAAAGAAACAAAAGACCTATATATAGAAAACTACAAAACACTGATGAAAGAAATCAAAGATGACACAAATAACATGAAGAAATATACCATGTTCATGGATTGGAAGAATCAATATAGTGAAAATGAGTATACTACCCAAAGCAATCTATAGATTAAAAGCAATCCCTATCAAGCTACCAAGGGTATTTTTCACAGAACTAGAACAAATAATTTCACAGTTTGTATGGAAATACAGAAAACCTTGAATAGCCAAAGCAATCTTGAAAAAGAAGGAACTGGAGGAATCAACCTGCCTGACTTCAGACTATACTATAAAGCTACAGTCATCAAGACAGTATGGTACTGGCACAAAGACAGACATATAGATCAATTGAACAAAATAGAAAGCCCAGAGATAAATCTACACACCTCAGGGCACCTTATCTTTGACAAAGGAGGCAAGAATATACAATGGAGAAAAGACAACCTCTTTAACAAGTGGTGCTGGGAAAACTGGTCAACAACTTGTAAAAGAATGAAACTAGAACTCTTTCTAACACCATACACAAAAATAAACTCCAAATGGATTAAAGATCTAAATGTAAGACCAGAAACTATAAAACTCCTAGAGGAAAACATAGGCAAAACAGTCTCTAACATAAATCATAGCAGGATCCTCTATGACCCACCTCCCAGAGTAATGGAAATAAAAGCAAAAATAAACAAATGGGACATAATTACACTTAAAAGCTTTTGCACAATGAAGGAAACTATAAGCAAGGTGAAAAGACAACCTTCAGAATGGGAGAAAATAATAGCAAATGAAGCAACTGACAAAGAATCTCAAAAATATACAAGCAACTCCTGCAGCTCAATTCCAGAAAAATAGATGACCCAATCAAAAATGGGCCAAAGAACTAAACAGGCATTTCTCCAAAGAAGACATACAGATGGCTTACAAACACATGAAAAGA